TACTATTAACTAAAATAAGCACTTTGGGCAGAAATCTCACAGTAGAAAGCTAATTAAAATCTACCATGAATAAATGTCTAAGGTTTGGGGAGAAAGTATATGAATATTCAGTGACTATTTAAGATTAACTTTCATCTGTATGTAACCTCTACCAAAATAAGCAGTCTGTTAATACATGCCTATTGAAAAGGATCTTGGCTCTATGTAGTGAGTCTCAGAGACGTTAAGATTTACTATTCCTTTCTACCAAATGCAACCCTCCCCTGTGAAAGGCAGGCTGGGCAGTGCTCATGTCTCCCAGGATGGTGTTCCAGGCGGTTGCAAAATGGAGTGGTAATAAAAATCCACTACCTCATTCATTATCTCTTCATCTGTACCAGCCTGGCAAATAGCTTCATGACTGAAGCTCAGCAAAAGGTGAGAGGCCCCTTGCTGCAAAGGGGTTGCTGCAAAGCCTGAAAGCCCTCCCATGTCAAGTCTCATAGCCTGAGAACTACCTGCATTTTGTGCAGAGGGAAGCCCTCCAGGTGCTGGGTTCTGGCCTTTGCCAACTTTCTTATCACTTATGCTGCCGCCTCCCAGAACCTGATACTTCCCAGATAACCCAGAGCAAATGTAAAAGCACAGCATGCACTGAGACCACTTTCTAAGAAAATCCATAGGACTCCATCATCTAAGGACAATTAAAGTGTGGTTGTCTACACATTCACTAGCAAGCAGGCGTTACTCAGGGTAGTCTGAGAGTTAGGTAAGCTGCTTAATTTTATGCATGGCTTGTATGCAGCAGCCTAATCCATAAATAATACACTATCTACCTTGCCAGATCTCTGCAGGCTCTTATATACTATAATCAGAGGACTTACATACAAATAATTTTTAGACTAGCAATTGTTGATCCACACGTTTATACATTATTTTGATTATTATCAGTCACCCACATCTCATTTTATATTCCTTGGAGCACAAGGGGAAGTAAGAGGCTTTCCTTTGAGTGACTGGAAATATCTTGAAGTCTCTAGAGCAAGGACAGGACCATGTCCTCTTAATAGTGTGTCTCCTAAAACGGAACTTCTACTGCTCATAGCATGCCTAATGGAAATTCTCCTTCCTGTCCTGAGCCTGTGGACTCAATATTGACAAGTAGAGGAGTAACAGATTAATTCCTAGACAACTGCTAGGAGGTCCACATTGATGGTACATCCACGCGAAACTTGACTCAAATGCCTGGGATTAAATTATAACTAACGATGCTGCTTTAGCCTTGTGCTTTGAATAGAGTAAGCAAAATATTAGAAATTGACATAGCCTCACATTAACCAGGTCAAAATTTGGGAAAACTTTCTTTCATAAGCATATTATGATTCTGAAGGTTAAACATTTGATATAAGAAAAAAAACTTTTTTTAAACTTTGGATTAAACATTAAACATTCTTTTCTATCTGTGGTTGAAATTTCATCGAAAATGAGAAAGTGCTACTGTACTCATAGAAAGTACCCCCGGGAGGAGACTTGTGGGCATCTAAAATAGTTATAAATATTAGTAGGCTTTTTATTGTTGAGAAAGATGATGTAGAAAATGGGCACATCCAGAACTATTAGGTGGCGTCTAAATGGGCTCTAAACTAAGGTTTGTCCTTAGCTTTGCCCCTCCCTTGTCTGTTAATTTTGATGTCTCCCCCTGAATTCTGATTAGTCTGATTTAATTATATATTTAAAAAATCATGTCCTGTGGCTACTGAGTCATATCACTCTCAATACTGAAGTTTT